ATCGAATTGATTTGCTGAACAACGTTCGACGGTCAAATGAACAATTATAGAATGTGTTTGATGGAATGAGAAGTTGACTTTAATTATTCAGTTAAATGAATGAGAAATTATAGAAGAGAACACTTTTGGTGATAAAAGCTATGAGAGCGATTGCGACAGCTCAGACTTTGATTGTTGAATGAAATGAATGAGAAATTACCAAAAGAGAACACTTTTGCTGATAAAAGCTATGAGAGCGATTGTAGCATCAAGGAAAAGAATGAAAACTATAAAAGCTATGAGAGCGATTGTAACAGCAAGGAAAAGAATGAAAACCGTGTTAGGCCAGGACGAGCTAATGATACTCAAAAGCTATGAGAGCGATTGTAACAGCAAGGAAAAGAATGAAAACCCTGTTAAAACGGCATTTAAAGACAAATGGATGGAATTTCAATGTTGCCATCAGCTAACCGCATTTACATATCCGAGATGAGTAACACCATCACAATGGCTTTCAATCTAATATGACAACTACACTAAAGAATATTTTCCCGACCCCTTCATTACCCCTTGACACCTCCAAATTACCCAAAATGAGTAATTTTACCCCCTATGAGAACCACTGTCCTAGTATCATGAAAACTTGCAACCATGTTTCTATCGTACTATGAAATTCATAAGAAATGACTTACGATCAGTTGATTGGGATCCGTATTGATGAAGCACGATGATTCCGTGTTATGAAGTTTGTGTTTTCATAAGCATGCAAAAAAATTGATGATGTGTTGATGCGATGCGCTTCGTTCACGATATTGCAGCGATTTCATTGGATTTACAGTGACATGTGAGATTGGCAATTGTGAAAAACAGTGAAATTTTGCTTTCGATGAGCAGGTGTGAAAACCTGTGCAATTGCACGGCAAGTACATTGAGAGCGTGATCAATCAACATCAACTCAGATTATTAAAATTCACACAACAGATAAATGGTTGAGTTGGGTGAAGCAATCACTAGGATGAGCTATAGCCATTGTCATCAACAATAGACAGTTGATGTGTTTACTTGAATTTTATTCATTGTCAGCTAAATGAAGTGATTGATTGTGAGGAATTTTTAGAAGAGTCCGAGAATGCGGGTAAAGAGCGGGTATTCAAAGAACGCACAAATGCGTTCAACGATCGTCAGCGACGTGGTGCGATGCGTCGTAAAATTCATGAGGTCAACCAAACTCTCCATTTTCTTAGTTCAAAACTCTGGATTTTCTGAATCGAGAGGATTCAAAACTCAAGAAGAGTTTCCACTAAAATGAATAATACTGTGTGCTTGCATTGGATTCAGTTTTTGGAAAATGTTATTTATCTTTAAATCGAGAGCATTTCAGCATTAATTCATGTAGAATTATTCCTTTATTGTGAATACCATTGGGAAAATCTATTTTAAGTACTTTAAAGTCATTCAACGTGCACTTAATGAGGCATTACCGCATAATGTCGTACTGTATTCTTCATCAATATCCTCTGTTAAGGTTACCGGCCACAAGTTCATGGCGTTATTCCTACGACAACCTACCTTCTGTGCACACTGCAAGGACTTCATTTGGGGTCTTGGCAAACAAGGCTATCAATGTCAGAGTAGGTTTTTGCACCGCATCTCTCATTTGATTGCAATTCCCGTCGTCGCCATATGATCCGTCGGTAAGTTGCACTGACGAAGGAAGATGTAGGCTGTTCGATGAGCGCACAAATTTCCAAAGGATTCAAAAGTTCCTGATTCAGGATAATATCCACCTGATTTGAACACCTTCACCAAGTGTTCATAGAGAAGAATTGCTGGTCAG